TTTTTTTTTTTTTTTTTTTTTTTTTTTTTTTTTTTTGGTACCAGGATCCAACTCTGGTCCTTACACTTGCAAGGCAGGAAATGGAACCACTAAGCTAAATCTCCAGCCCTTACATGCATTTTGATACTTTATTTTGAGGACAGCTTTGCAATTTGATAGCCACACTGTTTTAGAATTAATAAAACTTTTTTAGAATTAATAAAGTTTTTAGATTTCTTTTTATTAAATTATTTGAATTTTTATACAATTATTTTTACTCAATTATGTAAATGTCTTTTTAAAAAATCACATCATAAATTAAACATGTTATCTTCAAAGAAAAATTATAAAAATTAGTAAAATTTGACTATATTGGTTATGTCTTTACTCTGTCAGTTTAATAATCCAACAGTTGAGCACAAAACACTCTAAAATTAATTAGACTAGAGTCTCTAAGTTCTTTTGAGTTCAAATCAAGGCTCTGGAAGTTTCTAGAACTTCAAACCAAATTGGCAACCAAAGTTCCTCTTGACAATGGATTCTTAATATTCCAGCTGCTCATACTTTCTCTCAGCTCCATAAATCAACACTCTGTTTCCCTTCCAGCTGCTAATTCTAAACATAACTAAGATTTATTTGGCGGTCTGGATGTGATGCACTTCACCTGTGAAGAGGATTTGCGGAACCAGCCTCAATTCTGGTTCTGGATAGGTCGGTGGGTGGGTTTTTTCCTAGCTTCAAGCTTGGCATTTTCCTGTGGAATTGCTGGTTTCAAGTGAATATTTGATGTAGGCAAAGGATTGCTTGGCACCCCCCACCCCAGTGCTGTTCTATCCAATATTGATTTTTCCAGCGTGCTGTTTTTATACCTGTTACTTTCTATAAGAGACCGTGTTCTTGCTCACAAAACTTTTTAACGGAATCAATGTGATTTTAAACTAAAGCTGCACAATAGTTTTGTTGTTTAGTCAAAAGGCTTCCAGAATAGTGTGTATTACACATACCAGCTTCATGTCACAAAGCCTTGAATTATGATGCTGCCTTAATTCTCCACAAAGACAGCAGGGTTCTGCTTTTAAAAATAACTTTTAATTCTTTTAAATCAAAGTGTCAGGAGACTCTCATTTACATTATATTGTATTGACTTGTTCTATTTTAGTGGCACGTGCAAAGTCATTTTGATATGTGGTGATTTAAAATAATTGCTCTTCTCAAAATGGAAGGAAATTAACCAGCCCGGTGGACCAGCTCTTCTGGCAATATATCTCCATATGTCAGCTCCAGCTCTCCACGCCACCTGCTCGGGTCCCCACCAGGGACGCAGCCCATGAGATCAGGCCAGCGAGCTATAGATCTTGGGCGAGTTAACGGGTCCGCTTTTGCTTGGTAATGATGAGAGTGTTTCTGGAAAATAGGAAATTGGAATCTGTCACTTCTCAGCCAACTGAGGAGCAATCGCTGTTGTTTTGCATCTCTTCAGGGTTCGCTCAGATTATGAGCGATTCCTGCTCCCCGAGAGAGAGCTTGTGTCACTCCGGCCTCCTCTCGGAACAGATTCTGGGAGCGAGCGAGCTGCACAGCATAATTGTTGGAAAACAAAGTGGGAGCAGTTTTCCTGCAATCTGAGGGCGCGAGCTTCACCTGCTGTCAGCGACTTTCACAGTGGTGGGGGCTCTCAAGGTGACCCTGGCCAAGAACATAAATCAGACGTTCTCTGCAAGTCACTTAGGGTCCTCTGGGAGTGATTCTAATTCGCAAATTCCTGAAATCAAAATGTTAAAGCACCAATGCCAATGCCGATATGTGAAGCGACACTTCCAATCATTTCTAATTTTGACCTTACGTTTGGGGTTTAGAATTAAAAATTGGAGAGTAAGAAAACATAAGGATTTATTTAAGAATCACTTTTAAAAAAATTAATTGAACTTGCTGGTAGGAAGTATCCAAGTTTTTAGTCGTTGCTTCCTTCTATTAAAAAAGAAACTTTAGAGAAAAGAAAGTTCCTCCTGAGGAAAACACTACAATATCGTGCAGTTGGGAAAGACCTTAAAGATATTCAGCTTCAAACTCTCATTTCATACAAAGATAAAGGAGATAATGAATAAACAGTTACTGCGAAAGAGGAAAGAAATACCCATTTTAGTGAGCTATAGCACAGCTAAAGCTTTCAAATCGGGCCGTGTCCACCTTGTTGGTCTCCGCTAAAAAATAGTGGTGAAGGGGTGAGGACATAGCTCAGTGGGTGAGTACTGGCCTAGCATGTGCACAATCATCGGCATTACAAGAAAAGGAAAAGAAGAAAGAAAAGGAGGAGGAGAAAGAGGAAAGGGGGCTGTTGTGGGGAGGAGAAGAGGAGATAAAAAGAAATTAGGGAATCTCACATTGCATGTAAGGTATCATGGAACAGTTGTATGTGACTTACAGGCAATATGCACTTTTTACCATGGCCCAGAAAAGCTGGGAAACCACTGCACTCGCCTTTGACTTTGAGGAGATGAAAGGAGACATTCTTTGCGTGTGCATTACCAGATTCCCTACTTCTTGGGCCAGTGACCTCCACTGAGTGGATTTCACGGCCCATTATGTAATACTTAGATTTGTTCCCAGGCTCAGGATTTATTTCTCTCCACAATATAACCAGAGCCCCATTTTCCAGCTGCTGGGCCAAGCACTCTGCTTTAAAACCAATATTTGTGTCCTCACCTCTCCCTGGGATGAATAGCAGGCCCTTCTCAATTGTAGCCCAAATTTATACCGCAGTTTTAACAGTCATGACTGTGTTTATTCGAACAGGATTCCTTTTGCCTTTTAAACAAGAATGCTGTTTTGTTGCAGATATTGTTCTAGAAACATGTTTTTTTACAGAGATAAAACTTTATATAAGGTATTTAAAATTTTAAAAAGAACACCATCTTGACATTGTTAAGAAACACATTCTCTGAAATGAATCTGCCTGAATTTCCAACTAAAATGGATCCCCTTGGGTCTATGGGCTGAAAGCAAAAACGGATGCTGGGACCTGGTGAGAGAGAACACAGGAGCGGTGGTACCGGAGACCTTATGTTCTCTGAGGAGAGACATGACAGGGAGAAGGTGGGCTGGCACTGCCAGGGGACGGGATTTGGTGCCTGTGGCTGCTGTTACAGATTAGCATGTATATAGTGGCCGACAGCACACATCTGCTGTCTGCCTGTCTGTCTAATACAGGTCGCACTGTGCTGAAATCGAGGCACCGCAGAGCTGTGCTCCCCTGGAAGCTCTGGGGAGAATCCATTTCCTCGCCGTTGCCATCTTTGGGAGGCTGCCTGATTCTTGGTTCCTTCACAGAGACCTCTGCTTTGCTTGCCCCACCTCCTATTGCAACACTGCCTTCCCTGCCTCCCTCCCTTCTCCAAGCCTGCGCAGACCATGCGGGATCCACCCAGCCCCCCAAGTCCATCGCACCTCCATTCCCTTTGGATTAGAAAATGCACGCACACCTTCCGGGCATTAGGATAGCGGTGTTTTTGAAAAGCGGGGACAGCATTATTCAGCCGGCCACACACAGTGATGATGTGTTTGGAATATGGAAAAGTGAGTCCTGAGCAATCCACCAGACTGTCGCGATGTGGGAATGTGGTGGCTTTACGTCAGGGACACTGTTGCAGAAGGAAGGCGGGGTTATCAGGATCCTGCCCTCTAGGCACCTGCAGAATTGAAGATGGGCAGCATGGTCTCTGGCTGTGGCTCTGCCCTTTTCTTCTTGGCTGCACCCTGCACATGCTCTAAAATGACTGACCGCATCCCCCAAGTTGCTTCCCAGTGTTTAGAATTCATCTGTGCTGCTGAAGTTCCTTATTATCTGAGTCTTCAAAGCACCTTGTGTGCACTGCATTTTTCATGGCCATGATTTTGCAGCTTCCCTCTTATGCCTGGATTAGAGACCATGGCAAGAAAAGAAAGAACAGTGAATAAAGCCATAGGTGAAGTGGGGTTAGCTGGGGATAAGAATGTCGTGGGGGGGCTGGAAGCCTTCAAAGATCTTGCAGATAAAGCACCCAGCAAAAATGTAGAAGCTGCACTTAAAAGAAGGGGTCAGGGATAAAAGACCAGGGAGGAAGAGAGAAAATATATACACATCTGTAGACACAGGAAGCTGTGTTTGAAGACAAACTCCTACAAATGCAGGTCACTCTGCAGAGATCTGGCACTCAGCCTGATGGCTAAAACACTATACACCCCGGGGCAGCATGGACGCGCTGACCATGGGGTTTAGGCTCACTCTTTTGGCGACTGTGGGTATTAACCAAGTATGTCCAACTGGGCCAAAAGTTTTTGGAATTTCACTCCTTCATTTCTCTCTCCTCTCTTGCATGGAGAGACAAATAGTTACACGATGTGAAGAACTGGTAGGCTCCAGCAGGGATCCACAGAGCAGTGTCTGCCAGCTCCTCTCTGGGGCGGCCCTACATGGAAAACCCTCTGGAGGCCAAAGTCTCAGGATTTCAGAGCCTTGTAACTTGTGGCTTGTGATTTCCTCAGGTATAGATGCATAGGGGTTTGTCTTCCAGCATAGCTCCCAGTTCTGCAATGTGTATTGTTTTCTCTCTTCAGGCACAGATACTGTCCACAGGATCATCTTGGCTGCATCTAAAAATATCTTTAAAGAGATTAAGCATTGATTCTTTCCTTATGTATTCAAGTAGGTAAATCTTAAATATAGTGATTATTTAATTTATGGAAATAGCAGCCTAATTTTCAGATTAGTTTCAGGGTTCAGAGTGGTATTTTTAAACTCATAGTTCACTGAAAAGATTATTTGGACAATGTAATGAAAATGTTCCATCAGACTCAGAAGGAGTTTGTTGTGGAAGAAGGTGAAACTATGGAAAGTGTAAACTGTGGTAGAACATCACGTGCATTCAGAAAGGTTTGGAACGTCTGCTATCATGATTGTGCTACTCAGTGTCCATCTTATTAACGGAAAACCAGATTGACTAACTAGATGTTGCGTTTCTCCTTTCATGTGCATGCTGTTGGACCTAAAGCAATCCGCATGGAGACACTCAGATCCTGTGTCATCTAAGAAAATTTAGCTGAAGAACTGCACTGACAGATCCACATGTGTTCCATGAGAAAAATAACTGAGAGACGCAGACACAGCCAAAAATCTGTGGCAGAGGTTTTCCTACCAAACGCCTGTGTACCGCGAGAGCTTCTCATAGATAGTGTGTGTGCCCTGTGCATCCCCATCTGTATGTGTTCATCATGAGCTGTGCTTGAACCCAGCAGGATCTACTTATTTCCAACGTAACTGTGCCTTGGTCAGATAGGCTTCGTGTGTGTGTTGTAGAAGTGGGACGCACTGGGCCGGATATGGCTCTTTTCCCTGACTGTCTTGATTCAGTGGATCCAGGCATTTTCCAACTGAGCAGCTGTGGCTTGAGGAGAATCCAGGTGTTTCTCTCGTTGACTGTGGGATTGGCAGGGACCTGGGTATTTTCCTTTGCCTGGAATTATTATAACATATCTTATGCATATATATTTCAGTGAACTTTCTTTGTCCCAGGAAATAGATCATCTTTAACCTTACACATCTAGAAAACATCTAGAAAAATATGTGCAGTAGCCTCAATTTGGATGTCCAGCTCTCTCTCCCCACCCCTCCCAGTGCTATTACTAAACATCTGTGGACGTCTGCTGCAAGGAACAAAAAGAAAAAAATTAAAAAGTGACCACAAAAGAAAAATAGAAAAGGAAGATAAAAAGCAACAAAAAAGAAAACAGGAAAAAAAAAAACCCACACACAGAAAAGATTAAAGAGAGACAGACAGACATAAACTGGCACCAGTTAACTTTCTTGCTGAATTTAGTTTCTTATAGTTTTAATTTATTGCTGTGCTATTTATTATTCCTGTTGACCTGTAAGGACCTTTCTGTATATTTCCGTTCCTTCATCCAGTTTGCAAGTTAAAGGAACTCCAATGTTCTGTTTGTTTCTTTAAGAGACCTGGTTATGCCTAATGTATTTATAAGAGGGGAAGTGGAATCATTAAAGTAATAATTATTTAAAAAAGAAAAATATGTTCAGGATTCAGTGCTATTTATCTTTTTTATTCACTGGTTACATCCTTCAGGCTGTATTGTACAAACACATAAATATTCTAAAAATTTCTCCAGGTGAATGGAAGTAGATTTTACCTTTCTACTTAGAAGCGTGATGATCTACTTGGAGGGCACTGCTTCACTGCAGGGGGTATCACACCTGTTCTGACACCCACTTGTGAAGAACGTGTTGGGCTTGGCTTTGATTTCTGATCGAAGATGTACATCAGCCCCCTGAGGTTTGGCAACACATACCCCTCTTACAAAACGCTGTGTGCTTTTGATTTCCACATCTTATACAATACATAGGAAAGTTGGAAAGAGTTCAGAGAACAGAAACAAAATGATTAAAAGATTGGGGAAAGAAGGAGCTGGGATCTTTTCATCTAAAGAGAAGTTTTTAGGGAAACCACGATGGGCAGAGGGCCAAAGACAGAGTCAGAGGCCCCAAGCACAGTGGTGATGCGGTCCAGTCAGTGGGATCCGATGTAGCAGGCCGTCCTGTGTCCAACAGAAGAGGCGGGGAGAAGCTATCCAGCCTGACCCATCACTGAGCAGGAGAACACGCAGACCAGGAGAGAGAAGAGGGACGGGGGGAAATGAGACCGGTGTTACTAAATTTACCTAGGGATTCTCTCCTAGTACAACACTACAAGCTTCAAAAGCAGGAATGATTTCAGGACAGATGTTACCCAACTTCTCACATCTTGATAGACCTGTCACGGGTTGGAAATATCGTAAGTCAAAAATGCACAAATAGATCTAACCTACCAAACATCTTAGCTCCACCAACCCTACCTGAAACTTGCTCAGAACGTCTGAGTTAGCTGACAGTTGAGAAAAATCATTTGACACAAAGCCTATTTTGATAAAGTGTGGAATATCTCATGTGGTGGAAAAATGCTGGCAACACAGCCCACTGTAGAGTTTGCGTTGTTTACCCCACAATTGCAAGGCAGCCTAAGACTCACTGTCACTGCCTTGGACTTCTAGAGCATTTTACTGCATGCCACTAGCTTAGGAAAAGAACAACAGTCAACATTTGAAGTATATTTCCTACTGCATTTGTGTCACCTCCACATAGCCATAAGCTCAAAAAAATTCTGAGTCAAACCATCGTAAGTTGGGGATCATTGGTGCATGTACTTAATTCTCAGCTTCCAGTACATTTGAAAATATGATCCAATGTACATCTAAATCTAATGTGAGGCCATGTTATAGCTCCATGCAATCACAGGATGAAATGATGTATAAGGAAACTCCTGCCCAGGGTGTCTAAACACCACACTTCCTCTGTGTATCCATCCGTTGGTGGGGTAGAGGCCCTTTCCCGAATGTGCTGCTGTAAACATGGGGGTACATGCATCGCTGCATTATGATGACTTTTCTTTTTCAAGGAGTCTATAGAAATGGAATAGCCAAAAGACTAGTTTCCTTTGAACGGCTTATGTTTTAAGGTAAGGAGGTCAACCTGATTGTTTAGTAAGATTCTTACTGTGTCCAGGATTCTGAATGTTAAGAACAATAATACAAAATATATGTGGCTATTAAACACACAGAGACTATAATGTTAAACACTAAGTCATCTCTACTCCTAATGATAAGAGTTTTACAAAAACTGTGCTATTAGACAGGACTCTCCAGAGAGAGAGACTCCACCCATATATTATTTATTTAAGTAACTGATTTCCCGATTGTGGGAACCAGCAAGACCAAAACCTGTAGCAGAATGGCTTGGATTCGTGAACTGACAACTTTGTCCCCTGGGTGGTGCTATGGGAGGTGGCAGAATCTTTGGGAGGTGCGTCTTCGTGGGCGGTGTTTAGGTCCCAGGGGCCATGGCCTTGCAGGGTCTGTGGGACTCTGGTCACTTCCTCTCCCTCTCGTTTCTCTGGCTCTGTGGAGAACAGTTCTGTACTTCCACAATGCCTCCTCAGACCCAGAGCGATGAGACCACCTGATGGACCGAAACCTCCAAAGCGCTACACTAAATTATCTCAGGTATCTTGTTACGCTGGCAGAAAGCTGAGTAACATAGGCAGTTTGATGCACAAAGATGAAGATTCCTTTGTCCTAGCCTTGAGGCAAGATAATTGCCTTCTGCAGGAAACCTCCGTCCTTGATCTGGAAGGCTCTGAAGGCTGGGTGGTGCCCGCTGGGTGGTGCCCACCCACATGACAGAGGGTCATAGCCTTGACTTAAAGGACATAGATCACAAAATACCTTCATGGCAACACCTAGACAGTGTCTGGACCAGCAGCAGGGCAACACAGCCCAACCAACTGGACATAAAAAAAATGTAACCATCACAACCTCCAGATGCTCTTTGGCTCAAACCCTTTAGAGAGGTGAGATGTCAGTGGCAGTGGCAAGAGCTCCTTGTTGTCACGCAGCCACCCTAACCCTCAGGGGGACTTTTCTCTTCCATATTTCACACAAGCCTCCTCATCTGCCCATATCATTTAGTTGATTTTTTTGTTTCATTCTCTAGTAGTCGTGTCCGGTGACCACACTCCTGTGCCTCCCTGTTGTGCCCACAGACACTGTCTAGCCCAGCTCCCCTTTCTGCAGGTCTCTTCACTTTTCTACGGCCTCTTTCACTGTTCTGATTTCACTGAGAATTCAAAGGACAATCTGCTTAAGTAAAATCACTGACGCTAGCCACAGTGGTGCACTCCTGCAACTGCAGCACTTGGGAGGCTGAGGCAGAAGGGTTACAAGATGGAGTCAGGCTGCCAGAGCCCACAGCATTGCTTATGTCCCGAACGTGCTGTGAGCAGTGAGGGCTGCAAAGGGTTCAGTCCCTCGAGTGGCTGGCTGTAAGGAGCGAGTGTGACCGAAGCTCCGTGACTCACAGGAGGATCTGCTGAGCACTGCAGGAGCACATAGGTTAACGTGACCTCCCCGCTAACGGCCACACCAGAGTGACGGCCTGTGAAGCTGTGGGGCTGATACGAGACGGCATCCGCAGCTGAGGTTGGATCAATCGCACCCAAACGCCATTCCCACAACCAGTGCCTTCATAGCTCGAAGGACACTGCTGCCATTACAACCGTATGTTTTGTCGATTCTGTTCCTGAAAACGCTTTGACTCCTCTTTAAAGCCTCGCCTGCGTTTGTTTCCATGCTAACTTCACGTACCGCACATCTATACGGGTATTGCACCTTTATCCTGATTGAGGAATAATAAAATTCGGTAGAAGAGACGGGCCACGCCTTTTGCTGAAGGAGCACCGGCCATCCTGGTTCACACTTTCTCTGTAACTCTGTCGTAAGTTTTTCTCCAGCCCTGCGTTGCGCACTGGGCAGGTGGAGACTAGGGACTCACTGCAGGGGTCTCTGGCACCAAGCCTCTTGGACAACTTAGTGAGATTCTGTCTCAAACACAAGGAAGGTGCTAAAAGGGGCTGGGGAATGTAGCTCAGTGTGAAAGTCCCGGGATCAATCCCCAGTACTACTGGAAACAAACAAACAAAATCATGGAGAAAATAAATGACAAGTTGAGACAAGTGTGAATGAAAAGTGTAGTAGAGACCATGGATCCTGGAACAAACTTTCCAGGCTCAGTACTTACTACCTGTGTGATTTTGGTCATGTTACATGAAGTATTTCTGAACCTCAGTTTCCTCATCCACAACACAAGGATCACAATTATGTTTCCCTAAAGGGCTCACACGAGGTGGCTGGAGCACTGTGTTGAGCACTGAGTAATCTTGATGGTCCGTGGCTTGAGACACCTGGGGGATTCATAAAGCCCATTTCCGGGTGTGTCTGGGTGGGGCATGACCTTGGGGACTACATCTGTTTCCTTGCCCCTTCTCCTCTTCCACTTGTTTTTGCAGCCTGGAGCAGCTTTTCATCATGTCCTTCTGCCACGATGTTTCTTCTTTGGAGCCAGCTAACCAGGGACTGAAACCTTTGAAACCCTGAACCAAAAAGAAATCTTTTTTTCTTTAAGTTCTCCCCAGCCTCGCCCAGTACTAGCAGTTGATCCCAGGGCCTTTGTACTACACCCTTGGCCCTTTTTTCAGTCTTTATTTTGAAACAGTCTCCCTGTTTCTCTGAGTTGCCCAGGCTGGCTTTGAACTTGTGATCCTCCCTCCTCAGTCTGTCGGAATGCTGCAATTGCAGGCGTGTGCCACCATGCCCAGCTTCCTTTATGTTGTCGATGCCAGGTATTTTGTCCCCGTGACAGAACACTGATGAATGCAGTAATTATTTATTTAACTGTCGAAGAGCTGAGGACCATCTAGAGTCTGGGAGAAAGTTATTTTGAAGGAGGACTACTTGTATCACTAAAATTACATAACCCCATGTGAAGATCTGCTCTGAGCCTTTCTGTCCACAACAGGTTCTATTTAAGATTGTGGGAAGTTTACGTCTTCCTTCTTTACACAGAAGTCAGAGTCTGATACTACCAAGAATCCTAAAGCAGTTTACCTCCAAAATACTTCATCACACGAAGTAAGAGAAGTAATATTTACTGGATGTTGTTTGTCAGTTCACATACACAGTCTTATTCAAGGCTCATAACATCCTCAGAAATTAGACATATCACCTCCAATTTAAAGAAGGAAATGGAAACTTAACAAAATGTGAGTAATTTGCCCCAAATTACACATCATAAAGATTGCCCAGCTTTCATGCCAAAGATATTGCCAGTTACATTATGACATTTTGCCCCAAAGGGTAAGACCTTGAGCTGTTTCTTGTGGGATGTTGGTGCCTATATTATTACTTTTATAAAATTACTTTTCACGCACGTGTATTTCTTTTATTTTACAAAACCGAACTATCAGTTCTGGAACATTGCTCCGGGCAATCGATGTAGGGCACCGTGAAGTGGGCAGGAGGCATTAAATTGAACATTCTTGAACTACAAAGCCAAGGGCCCTCAGGAACAAACAGATGTTTAAAGAGCCCGGCTTTCCATTTGTTTCTAAACAAAACCACTGTTTACGAGGAACGTGTTAGTGAAAGGTACAGAAAAGATTCTGCTTTTGTTTAAACTCCAGTAAATATTTGATAGCAATCATTTCCAACATAAATTGAAGAAGCTCAAAAATAAGTTCCAGTAGTCCCACAGGGTGATTAATGAGAGTAAGGCCGCTGTGAAGGAATTCATGGTAACCATGGGATGTCATGGCCAGTGGATTCCTAGTGAAGGCTTCTGCCCTCTGCTTTAACAGACTTATTTATCAGCCTTCCTGCCACCATGCGACCAGGAAGCCAACACAGTGAACAGACACATTCTGTACTAGGATAAAGCGATGTGTCAGTCCTTAAAGAGGACGGAGCCTGTTAATGACTGAGTACAAAGATAACAGGGAACAGGGCCGTTAAAATAAGGTACTGCTAGGTGCCATGGCCGAAATACAGCCTGAGGTAGTGGAGTTTGTGGCCAGGATCCAGCAAGATTTCTGAAGAGAGGGCAACTGAGCGAGACCAGACTGAGAGTGTCAGAAATCTAACCATCCCCCTGACCCCTAACCCACCATCCAGGCAGGAAAGCTCTAACAGATAAGACACGGTGTCAGAGTCAAGGCAGCAGGGCTGGCTCCACAGAGATGCACATCACAAGGTCAGCAGCTGCGCAGGACACATTCTATGTAAAGAAGACTTAGTCTGTAAACAAATGGAAAGTCAGGCAGCTCAAACTTCTTCTTTCCTGTGGGTCCGTTGGCTAATTCAAACGTGTACAATACGCTTTAAGAAGGAGTCTGAATTACTACTCAAGAATAATGGAATTATACTGCAGGCTCTGAGCAAGAGGTGAAATGACTTGTTAGCTTTAAAAATGTCAATCAAGATGCTGGGTGGAGAACTGCTTATCAAGGGGCAAGAGCAGAGGACAGGAGACTCTTAGGTGAGACTACAGCAGCCTAGGAGAAAAAGGCTGAAGACTGGTCCCAAATCTCCTAATGATTAAGGGGACTTCACTGGTAACAGGAACCTGAATTTATTTTAATAATGACTCCATTTGCATGCAACCTATCCGCTGCAAAGTAAATTGTTTCATTGTTACTTTGTCAGAGGTAGAGCGCATTGCTAGGGATTAGAAATTACAGACACGCCACTGAATATAAAAACGCACTTAGTGGTGTGGCAAGGATCCACTACGGAAGGCTTCTCGTCCTCCCTAAAGAACAGAACGGTATTCTAGGAAATTAATGCTTCCCTCTCTGGCTGACGTGCAAAATTACAGAAATCATTTGCTAAATATGGCCGGCCACCCTTAAGAGGGCCGCGACGCCTTCGTCTGAGCTCAGCTTACTGTATGAGGCCATTTATCAATTTCCACCGATTGTTACACATAACTGAAAGGACACCTGCGACCACGGCGCCCGATTGGTACTTTCTCTGGGCTCAGGCAGAAGCTAGTTTGGAAAGTCTGTCCGAGGCAGCCCTGCCTGCAAACTTTGTCTCTTAGGGGCTGCTTTGAGGGTGGCAGAGGTGGCGGGGCTCGGCCACTGGTCTTTCTACACCACTCTCGGCAGCACAAAACCTCCTGGAAACGTGATGGTGTCAAGCACAGGAGGCAGAAACCCAGTCGCTGTCGTCATTCCGGGTGGCACAGAAGAGCGACAGGCTCGCAAGTCGCGAATGCTAGCACGGCGAAACGGGGCGCAGGTCGCAGCATGTGTGCTGCAGACTTCTCGGGATGTCCGGAAGGTTTTTCCAAGTTCCGCCTTCCCCCTCCTTTGCAACCATCCCGGCCCCAGCTGTTCCGGGCCTTTGACTCCATCTGTCCTTCCGCTCGGGCTGGGTCTTTCTCGCCAACTGGAGCACACAAGTGCGACTCCCCAAGTGATCCGA